TCCCTCCCTCCCCTCGCTGTGTGAACTCATAATATGAAACCTCGTTTGTTTTGCACCTACACGGCTGGTCAGTTTCAGCTGCAGCGTGAGCCAGGAGCCTTGTTGGTTGGGAAAACAGTGCGTTGGCGTCCTGCCAGTGTTTTTGAAACAGTTGCCAAATGTGATGGATCTTACATTAAAGTGAGAGAGGTAGGGAGGTGAAGGTTCTGGTCGATTAGGCTGCAGTGGATATGAGCTTTGTGGAAAGGTGTATGGGAAACAGAACTCCCCCCTTTCTCCACAGAGACCACTAACGATGCTGCCAAGCATTACTGCTCACTCCTGTCAAGTTAAAATCCGCCCTAAAAACCTATAACTTGTCCTAACAGTGCACTTAGGCACTGGAGTAATAATGAAACACTGTGGGAACAGAGAGAATTCTTGTTTTTTTTTATCAGGGCCTATTTTTACATACAACTTGGTACAAAAAGATTGGAATTACTCCTGTTGATCGCTACAACTTGCCGCCTGAAGACGGGCTGTATTGACTGCACTGATAGGAGATCACAAAATAGTCGGTCTTGGTTGGTATCTTTTCTGTAATGCTGTCGGACCCGAGAATATTAATCATGGAAATATTGACTATTTTAAGTGGACGTACTCTGATAGTCACAATACAGTTATAGCCCATTTTACAGCTTCCACATAGAACTTCTCTCTAAGCAATATGGAACTTTTTTTTTTTTTGTAACTTTTAGTCATTCGGATCCAAGAATAAGTTTAGAAAAATACCAGGAACATCCTTTTAATTCCTCTGAAAATGCTCATTTCATGGCTAAAATGTTTGCTCTACAAACCTTGTGTGCCAGCACTCCTGTCAGTTTAACCAAGCAGCCTCTCTTATCAAGTTTCTTTGTGTTGAGTGAGATTTCTCCTCCACTGTGTTGTTAATTGAGCCCTTTAAGAATGGTATATTTGGTTTTTAGGGTAGATTTTCACTTAATGTCTCGGCTCTGAAGGCAATAAGTCAGTCCGTGGTTTTTAGTGCTGAGCTGGAGAGAGGCCAGCAGCACATCTGGCCATGCTTAAGAGGAGAGGAGATGGAGGCCAGGGAGGGCTGAGTGATCGCTCAGTGCCTCAGATAACCTCTCCACAGACACGCCCAGCTCGCTGCTGCAAAGGGGCCCTTTGGTGCCACGGTGTTTCTGTGACCAACCGATGCCTTCATGATCAGCTAATTATTCATTCAGTTTAAAAATCAAGAAAAAAAACGGACTAATTGTTCAGAAAAAGAGATTGTGCTGCGTTGTCCTGTTCCAAGTTGCATCACAACATCGGCACTATATAAATGCCTCAAGCTGGTAGAAGGGAAAAATGTGAAAACCATTAAATCATTATTTAATTTAAATTGCCTCTCCCCAGAAAATCCTTTTATCGTGCTCTTTGCATTGTTGCACCAAAGAACAATTACCAAATTAATTCCCAACATTTTGTTGTATTAATGGATTTCTCCAAATTAGAAACATTCATATTTTAAGGTACGACTGTTGGCAACATGTAGGTTCTAGTGCGTGTAAACTTATCAATTCTCCTTAAATAAATCGAATTGGAAACCTAAATGAACTGAAATGAATATAGGATACATGGTGAAGACTTCATGTGGCTAAAAGTATTTGAAAAATACATATACAACCACGACAATCTTATAAATGATTAATTATTTATGCAATTCCTCATGCTAAAATGTCAAACATCCCTTCGGTGCAGCCTCTTGAGGAGTGGCTTCTTTTCATGTCTGATGCGACGAGACAGCCATCGACTCGTCTTTGACTTTCAGAAGAAGAAATGAATAAACATACGGAGAAAATGTCACGCTGATTAATCAACAAACGGCGTAATTCTAAATCGTCTAATCTGCAGTCATAGATTCAAGATTAATTTAAACTCAACCACTCACGATCTGAATATGAGCGTGACTCAGATTAACAGAATAAAAGTTTATTTGTAAGATTCATTAGGATCCTGTTTTCTATTAAGACCTGCCGTGTTTCCCTTCATTTCAAAGACAAACGATGGAGTCAGTTCGGGAATAAAAGCATGTGGGGGAACTTGTGTGTAATGGAGGCATCTCATTACTCATAATCAGATGCTAATGTTGCGTAACCCAGTTGTTTTGTGGTATCAAAATGCAATAATGATGTGGTCTAGATAACCCTCTCTCCACCCAGAGACAAAGCTGCATCTACGTTCATCAGACTGTGAATTCTTCAGACTAACGGGGAAGGAGTCATAGTGAAAAAACACTTCAGTGCGTTCATATCCCCAACGCTTGTTATAACCTGAATCTGTCAACACATACCTGTCACTGCCAACTGTAAAGTTAAAAGAAGGAACAGCTTATTACTATTGGCAGCCATAAAGAGAGAATGATAACACAAATATCTCTGAAGTTCTTCAATTCCAGACCTCTTTTCATACTGTCCATTGTTAAGATCTAGGAAGAGAAGCTTGTCAGTCTTGATGGTGGCATTGGATTTCTGCAACATAAATCCTGCAGGTGCATCCTTCAGACAACACTGATGAACACTGATTCCTGTCAGAAGAGGGACGTTGTGGCGATGACTCAGTGTTGGCTCTCTGTTTGGGATTTGTAGCTACAAACAGAAAAGTGATTCATACAGTTATGTGAGAGTCCTGCTCCCAGTCATGAAGTAGATGTCTGATCGGAGATGTGATAGCGGCGGCTGTCGTTTTTTTTTTTTTTAATCAGGCTCACCAGCCACACAGCCGCACATGTTAAATATAAAACATGCAGTAAAAAGAAACGGTAGTTTTTGTCAGGCAGCCGTCGTTTTCGGTTTTCGACGAGACGCTCGTGCGATGTCGTTATTCTCAGCGCTTCGTCAGAACGCTCCCGAGCACACAGCCAGCGCTTCTCTGTCCCCGGGAGAGAAAAAAAACAAACCAGGTGGACAACAGGGGCCTAAGATGACTGTCCTCCTCTTCCAGTCTGTGTTGCTCACCAAAAAGCGACATGCGTCTCACGGCAGATGAAACAACAACTTGTACTTGGCCGTCATCACTTCTATGTACACCTGAAGTGTAAATATTATATACATCAAATATTACACAGCGTTTGAAATACTTGTGCAACATGTATCGCAGATTGCAATCACGTTGTCTTCCTCTGAAAGTGCGCTCCTATTCTTAGTCACTCAAGCATCTTTTTCTGGGTTAGGGTTTTTTTATGCAGCGTGCAAGCAGATAGACAACCAATAAACGGATATGTACAGGTGTCACAGGCTCCGCTCTTGCTTCCTTAAAATGAAACCCCCCCCCCCCCCAAAATGTCAGCACAGTTTCTCACTCTTTTTTGTTTTGTTGTCTATCCTGTACCACAACAAAGCTCGAAGTCAAACCACACAAAGTTAAGCTGCAGCTGCAAAACTCCTTCTTGTGTTCAGATTAGTATGAACGTAACTTTTTAGTTGTTATAAGAAGTTGAATAGCAAAACAATGTCAAGACTTGAAACTGTTGTCAGACATCAATACTGAAAGTGGATTGTTTCAGCTCAGTGATTTATAGTAAAGGATTTGTGTAATCACATGTGCTTTGCATAAAAATATCTCATAACTATGCTTTGGTATTTTCAAGCACCAGATGAAAAGTGTTTTTTTCCCTTCTAATGTTTTCGTAGATGTGAAGAAATATTTTCCCCCCCTCTAATTGATTAGTTTCATTGATAACTCTCTCTGACTACACTTTCACGTCTTACTGAAGGACGGTCTAAAGGCGCTGAGATGGTGTCGGGCAAATTGTAGGTTTGAGGTTGACGACCGACTTCCTCTCTGTAACATCTGTGACCAGTGAACCCGGCGAAGCGGGCCAAGGCAGCCATCAGCGCCAGCAGCGAGTAGTGCTCGGGGAGCTGACAGCCGTAATGTCAGCTCCAGTGTTGTTTTTGTGTTGGCGACCCCTGGGATCAAAGTGTGGTGGATTAAAGGCATTGTAAAGTGTCCCTCTTACCCCCCCCCCCTTCTCCTGCCCGCTGAAAAGAGAGAGGGCCCCTAAGCCTACGTGGCTTTTATTGTAATAATCCATACAGTTTCAATTGACTATGGAATGCACTGGCTGAGATGATGGTGTTAGAGGGTGTGTTTATATGTGTGTCTGAATGTGCATCGTCCCTCTGCAGCCATGCATAAGGTCTGCTCAGTGTATTGACTTCCCTGACACAGTTGCTGCAGTGACCAGTGCTGCACACACACACACACAGAGATGCAGCGTTGTCACTGCAGTGTTGTCCCAAAGAGTCAGAAGGGGAATACCCACACTCGGCCAGAAACTTCCCATGTTTTAGCTCCTCTTGGGGCAGGAGAGCGAGAGAGAGAGGGAGGGGCATAGGAGAGGCCGCTATTTCGGTCCTTTTGTTTATGTAAGGAGTGGCAGAAGGGTGTTAGGAGAGCAAAGGAGTCTGGGAATGTTGGGGCGTTATAGCTTGGGAATAACGTGCTCATCTGTGGTATGTGCAATACTGCATATAGGAGGTTTACTTATAGCGTGGGATACATCTGGGTTGAGTTTGTAATACGATGATGGGAACGACAAACGTTGGAGTTGAGTTGATTTATTGCCATGTGAAATGTAAGATGATCAATGAAAAACATGGATTCTGTGTGCATTTACTTACTAATTTTGATTCATTCTTATTTTTAGACGGTTGAGATTATTTTCATCTTAATGTCTAGAAAACAATTTCCCAACATTCACAGAAATCAGTTGATGTTTTCAGATGATGGCGTTCATCAAACCAGACCTGCTCGATTAAAGGAAAACATACGACGCGTGATGACGTGTTAAATATTGCGATAAAAACATAAAGTTCAATAGATAATAAAGACTGGAAAGTGTTCGCATGTGTGTTAGTGACAGAAACACAAATTCACAGCCTTCCTGAGTCTACTGATCATCAGTGTTAAGAGTGAATGAGCGCACACTGAGTGTTTGAACGAGCATTCACCTCTCATTTTCTTTTTACAGGGACGTCATGTCAAGACTGGACAGCTGGCTGCCATCAAAGTCATGGACGTCACAGAGGTAAGGTCGAATAATACGTTTTCCAGCTTCACACCAACATGTAAATAAAGGCAGGTGGCTTTTTATTTTTATTTTTAGGAACAATAGGTCTGCGATAGACGCAGTTAGAGGTGGGGGAAATGGAGCAACAAGAAATTCAGCCAGTCTCCCAGATGAATGGAGTAGATCCTGAAGTATGGACTCATTCATAAATAGACTTTGAAGCCTGAATCCCCAAGAATTGAAATCGAATCGTGAGACACCCAAAGATTCCCGTCCCTGGAGTTGCTGGAGTTTTGTTCATTATGATCCCCCCCCCCCCCCCAAATTAAATTTGACATCTTGGTTTGCAAAGCGAAAAAAAAAGAAAAGGATATCTGCACTAGTACATCACACTCCGGTTATGTTTGAGCTTTTGTCTGGTAAATATTAAAATGAATAGACATTCCTTTGGATCTGACGTCTTAATGTTTTCAAGCTTACAGAGAAGAAAAAATGCCATGATTTGTAATGAGCCCCCTCCATCATAAACAGCAGGGGAGGGGTAGAGGCAACAGGATGCTTATTGAGCGTAGTGCGTCATTTAGCGGCCAGCGCGCTGCCCTCAGCTGTGTGAGGTCCCATCTGCAGATGAGTGAACGCACACAACCACACATGAACATATGCAGGAACACAAAGCAGAAGGTTTCAGAGTCACAGTGCAGGCCAGAAGAGGCAAACACCCACACAGGCCATAGCAATGAGTGTGTAAGCATGTTGACTGCAACAAATACAGAGAAAAAAAGGGAGACGTCTACAGTCATCAGCTTAATTTCCCCCATGCATCATTACCCAGATTTCCCAATATTCAGTGCAACATATTCAACATGCACCTGCGTCGCAATCAACCTAACCCTAAAGACGCTCCTGACTCAGCAGCACAGAGACCGTTTGCCCTGACATGCCTGCCGCCACTCCTCACATCAGCCTACGTCATGATGAGTCAGAGTGTCCACACTCACCTAATTTGTTATCATGTAACCGGTGTTAAGAGTGTGACTCAATCGTTTCCTGTTTAATGCAACAGTCTAAGAAAGCACACCTACAGTATCGTCCTAACTTACTGACAGCATGATGAATGAAAGTTCATAAGGTATGTCCTCATGAAGCTATGTCTGTCTGATGCTCTTCATGATTTACAGAACACCTCCTTTCTAAATCTAAAATAAATCCTTAAAAACATTATTTTTCTCCACTTATATGGATCAAATTAACCAGAGAGTTATCAGACTGTTCGCTTTCCCTTCATCTCACTGCATTCAATGGTTTGAAAGCATGTCTGCTATACACATGCCGCCATACAACTGGTAAAATGTACACATGTCGAGTGAGCATGCACGGTTTGCCAGGAGGCTTAAAACCCGCCTCAGCTCCAGCTCTCAGCCTGTCGTTGGGATGACTGAAAGCTAGGTTGAGGCAGCATTTCCAGCATGGACACCATCACCCTCCAGGAACAGATGGGTGACGTCACTCAGCCTTTGTCCATTAATATTTACAGTGTATGGTCTAAATGAAGAGAATCACAAGACAGTTTTAGAGACTTGTTTCTATTGACATTTTCCAAACGTAATTATGACACTCACTGTGGAAAAGGAAAAAGAATGGAGAGCAGTAAAACTTGAGAAATGGAAAGTTACATTAGGCATATATTGCTGATTATTTGGTCTGCATATGTTGGATCCTTGTATTGGAAACAGATGTTCATTTGTGTCACACATAGTTGGAAAACGATAGGCAAGAAACAAAAAAATCGAAGTTGAGTCAGGTACAGCTTATACCTTCTTTATAAATGATCTATCTTAAAGCATTATGCACAAATGTTGTAGCTGACCTAGCACAACAGATTAGTAACTTCTTATCTATGTTCATAGTACAATGACGCATTTTTCCCCCTTGTATCTTCTTGGCTTAGATCTCACAAAGCTCCACTCCTCCTCTTCTCATTCTCTGTTTTTTTTTAACCATATGATTGTGTCACTCTTCCCCTAACCTCCTCCACACCTGACTTGTGGCAGCGAGGCTCTCTCTCTGCCGGGGTGGTGTGATAATCCCAACAGCTGCACAGCAAAGCAAAGCAGAGCAGAGAGGGGGAGGATGGGAAAGAGAGAGGGGAGGGAGGGAGGGAGTAGAAGGGGTGTGCAGTGTACAACAGAAAGGCTTACGTCAACTCAGACGAGTCATGCAGCAGCAGTATGGCCGCAGACACTCTGCTGCCATTTTACTAAAGATTCTGCTTGCTCATATTACAGATTAGTAACATGCACAAACAGTATCACCTCTCCCTGAATTGTCTTCTGCTGTTGGTGATGTTAAACCTGGTTAAATACTACATTATTGTAAATATAAAGAGGCAAACCCCACACATTGTAGCCTGCGGTGATAATGCTGCACAGCCACCCCCCCACCTTTTCTATCCACCCCCCTCCTCCTACTGTACTTCCTATAGGAGAAGCCGTGTAACCATAGAGGAACACAGGCTGATCCCTGCATGTGTTCAATTACTGTGTCACGGTTAATCATTGTCAAGTTTCTATTGGATGCGAGCAGAGGGAAAGCACTGCAGCTAGTTCTGACCTTTTTATCAAGATGTGATTCAGGACAGGTTTGCTGCTTTTACTCGCACTAAAGGGCCATTTACAGCAAACACTGCATCATTTTTTTTTTAAACAGGGTTGTGGTACTAAAACGATGGAAGGAAGCTGGCGTGCTCACTGTGTGTCGGGTAATACAAGGTGCGCTGCAGTAGGGACAAATAGCGGAAAAAACAACAGTGGACCAGCTTACCTCCGCTTGGTCTCTGAAGGGTTGTGGTACTTTTAATCTTGAGTGCTTTGGAAAAAAAAAAAAAAAGTCTAAATGACTTAAAGGTGCAGTAGGTTTTATAATTTCTCCAGCAGATCACTTTGACCTACAGCAGATAGATGAACTGTGAAGGATGCATCACATTTTCTTAAGCTTAATGCACAACGTGTTTGCTGCTGACACACTCACTCAGACACAAAGTTTTTAATATCACAACAAAAAGGAGAGCTACAGTTAAGATTTGATCCCTTTTTATAAACAGAAACAGCTGCTGTTTCACTCCTTTAATCGTCACCAGATTGCATTAATGAAAAGCTAGTATTTTTTTTTACCCTGCAGACCACGAGAGTTTACCGGCCAACTCTCTGCTGTTACCTGCTTGTTTGTTTGTTTGAATGTGTTGGGTTGATTCAGAGCTGATTATTGGCTTCATTATGTGCTTAAACAAAAAAGATAATCTCCACTAGACCTAATTTATATCTGTGTTGAACCATTTATCTAATGTATATTTATTCCTTTTTTAACAAGGGAATACCAATAATGGCCACGCTACACGTCAACCCACCACAGTGAGACTCACTCATGCATCATTAATCCCTAAACAAAGGAATCATTTGCGAGTAGACGGGCGACTCCTGCTGCATTGTCGTACAGCAGAGTCCGACATTCAAGATGAATAAGACCCGGTCATGCGGAAATAAAGCCACAACCAGGGTTTTGTCACATTGATATGACCCTAAATATGGAAGTGAACTGATTTGAGTCTGAACTGAAATGTCACTTAAAGCCAAATGATGATTAAAGCCCCAAAAACCCACACAGGGATTTTTGAATTTCACCATCTTGTCTATCTCTGTAACTTGTGTGTGATTCTGTTTTTTTTTTTTTTCTGTTTCAAGGATGAGGAGGAGGAGATTAAACTTGAGATCAATATGCTGAAAAAGTACTCCCACCACCGAAACATAGCCACCTACTACGGCGCTTTCATTAAGAAAAGCCCCCCGGGACACGACGACCAGCTATGGGTAAGTCTGATATACAGCTGCCTCGATCACAGACTTTTTGTGTTATTGTGTGTTTCATAGATTTTGTATTGGATCAGAAGTAGCCGTTTAAACACCATATTAACCGTTTAAACACCATATTAACACACCAATCGAATCAATTGGTTCAGCAGCAGAAAAGCAGCTACAGGTTTCCTTCAAGATAAAATGACTGTTTTTGTTTATGCAGTCTGGTAGCATTTAAGAGGGTCATGTATCGGCTGTTTCTGGATTCTCTTCACAGAAAGGTCTGCCTCTTTGAGTTCTTTACCTTTGGGAGCCTGACAGTTAAAATAAAAAAACATTTACAATGACTGATTTGATTGTGTTGCAGCCAATAGAGCCCATTTCACGACCACAGAGTTAAGCAATGTGGAGAAGCAATTCAACTAAGCATCCTCTGATGATCAATATTCCTGTTTTTTTTTTTTTTAGTTGGTGATGGAGTTCTGTGGAGCCGGCTCAATCACGGACCTGGTGAAGAACACAAAGGGGAACCAGCTGAAGGAAGACTGGATCGCTTACATCTCCAGAGAGATCCTCAGAGTGAGAGTCATTTTCTCCTCTCCTCTCCTCTCCTCTCCTCTCCTCTCCTCTCCTCTCCTCTCCTCTCCTCGGTTGCTAATGTTATGTATCTGTCTCTACTCCTCAGGGTCTCGCCCACCTTCATGCCCACCACGTCATCCACCGAGACATCAAGGGCCAGAATGTCCTGCTGACAGAGAACGCTGAAGTCAAACTAGGCGAGTTCTCCCATGACGTTTACTCACTGTTTTAAAACATGTTCAGCTTTTGCTTTTGTTGTGCTGCAGAGGATCGGAAGTGTCAGTTTACAATCTGAGAATTTTGAAAACACTCTGTTAAACAAGGCATCTTGTGTGTGTTTTAAGTAACGAAAACATGTTGACGACACAAGCAATATAGTGTCACTACATTTTGATCGCAATGTAGCTGAACTCTGCTTGGAGCGTGGACTTAAAAGCTGTGAGAAAAGACGGGATAGAAAGACAAATGTGGAATCTTAAACGTAAATTAACCAAAAGTTGTGACTGAAGAAGTGTATTCAGGTAGGAATCTATCACTGACTGTGAGAGTGTTACGGTGGTTAAAGGGGGGTATTGACCTGATGTCATGCTTTACCTGGCGTCCCTTCTTTAAATTGATTTTTGTCCAGTCTGGGTCAGATAGCACCTTTTATCAGGATCATCTTGCTCAGTATGACATGCAATTAGCATGAGCAATGAGCCTCTTGTCTGGAGTGGTCATTTCTTTGGACTGATAATGTAGTTTCACATTTGCAGACTTGACATCCTTAAATATTTGGAGTACAAGACCTTGACAGCAATGTTCCCCCTCCTTGTAGTTGACTTTGGTGTGAGCGCTCAGCTGGATCGTACAGTTGGGAGAAGAAACACCTTCATCGGGACTCCTTATTGGATGGCCCCGGAGGTCATTGCTTGTGACGAGAACCCGGACGCTACCTACGATTACAGAGTAAGAGCCTCCACAGAATCTCACTGAAAACTTGACATAACCATGTAAAACAGGTGTATTGCACCTGTTACTCGCTGATTTGTCTGAACATGTCCCGTTGTTGCGGCTTTGCTGACTGGGCGTTGTCTTTTCCTGCAGAGTGATTTGTGGTCCACTGGTATCACAGCTATTGAAATGGCTGAAGGAGCACCACGTGAGTACCATTCTGTTCATATTAGCACGATTTTGTGTGGCGTAAAATGTTGCTAATGTTCTGCTCTTGTGCATCTCCTTCCAGCACTCTGTGACATGCACCCTATGCGTGCACTTTTCCTTATTCCGAGAAACCCTCCTCCCAGGCTCAAATCTAAAAAATGGTGAGTATGAACCAGAAGAAAAATTTGTTTTTGTGCACATAAGTGTATTTCTATCCCTTTTCAGTTCTCTTTTTCTGACCCTTATAAAAAGCTCCTGTTTTATTTATATGTTTTTTTGTTATTTAAACTTTGGCCTTCCTTCTTGGTTTCTCTGTGTGTAACTTTATCTCTGACCTCAGATCAGGTTCCTGGAGAAGCCTGAATCAGAGCTTTCCTCCGAGCTCTGCTGAGTTGCACATCTGTTGTACACCTGCTCTGGCACACTCAGTGTTTCTTGGCAAACACTGCCGTGATGCTCTGAATGAAAAAAAGAATAGTTTCTGCTTTTTGACTGAAGTTTCGGGTCTAATGGGCTTTTTTAATAGCATGCATTTTAAAAGCATTATACTACCTGAAAACCTTAATTAAAAAAAAGCCTTTTGATTCTTGTTTCTTTGATTCTGACTCTTGCTTACGGCTCCACGTCTCTGGTTGTCAGACGTGCTGTTGTTTGTGTGATTAGGCAGGAACATTTCCAATCAAGCTCACACAGTCTTGGAAAAAAGCAAAATCTATTTTTACTAGGTATTGTGAAACTTATTGTCGTTAATCGTCTCTCAGATTTTTCTGTATGATACCTGAGTTGTCCGTCTTGTTTATCCTATTTGCTTTACTTTTCCATAAACCATATTTCCAGAAGCTGTAGGATGTTTCTTTTTAACTGTTTCCTTTTTGAATTTTAATGAAAAGTGAATCAAATCCACATCTAAACGGCTTCAGGTGCACTGATGATGATAATTGCCTCGCACTGTGCCCCATATTTCAGCGTTTTCATGGCGCATCAGTGATGAAAGGTTGAGTGCCGCCTGTCTACACGTATAAATCTCATTTAGGCTGTTGTCATGCAGCGGAGTCTTTCAGAGGCATGGAGGGAGTGTTTTTCAGGATGGATGGTTCACTCAGATTTTGTTTGCAGTAATCAAATTTAATTTAAGATCTCAGGACGCGCTCTGTCCTCTCATGGTTGGACATTTTCGTCTCTGGCATCTACTGTCTCTTTTTTTTTTTTTTTAAACGTCACCCATTGCACTCTCTCCCCACGTTCCCCACAGGTCCAAAAAGTTTTTCAGCTTCATCGAGAACTCTCTGGTGAAGAACTACACTCAGCGTCCCCCGACGGAGCAGCTGCTGAAGCACCCGTTCATCCGAGACCAGCCCAACGAGAGGCAAGTCCGCATTCAGCTCAAAGACCACATCGACCGGACCAAGAAGAAGAGGGGAGAGAAAGGTGAGACTGTGTGAACCTGCCAGCTTAGAACTTTGCTTCTTTTGTCTTATTCACTGTCACAGAAAATGTGAAATCGAGTATCTCATGTTAAATCTGGCGCAGAAAGCCAATTTAACCTTTGTGTGTATGTACTGTGTTATGCATTTCATCATCTAAAACTTAAACTTTAAGTGTCTATTTTCAGACATTTTCTTGTGATGGCTTTTTTTTTTAAACTTTAAGTTCAAGTTAACCTGAACTAATATTTTTTGCAAAACTTTTCTTTGTTCATTTTCCTGTAATTGACGTAGTAGAAGTAGAAGCTCAACCCCCATTTCTTTCTCTTTATCAATTTTCTTTTGCACAGATGAGACCGAGTACGAGTACAGTGGCAGCGAGGAGGAGGAAGAAGATCCCCCAGAGCAGGAAGGAGAGCCAAGGTATGGTGAACGAGTTTTTGTAATTCCTATTTTTTGTTTAATTGTGTAGGGACAAGTATGAAGCAAGTAAACCACGAGGCTGTGGCAAAGTGTCCGATGTGTCCTTGGGCAAGACACTTAAAGCAGTAATTCTACCTTGAACAACGTGGGGATTGCTGGTTTACCACTGCTCATTTGATTACTTTGTGTGATTCTGTTTTGTTTCATGGGTTATTAAATCTTTAATACAATAAAGTCACAGAAGAGTGGGCATTGTGGCGAATGTAGACAATCAACTTGGTTTAAAATGTGTTTTTTTGTCTTTGATCAGTCCAATAGAAGACGTGTGACAACTATTAGCAATCCTCTCCGCTCTGACAGATATTGCAGAAGTCATTACAGCCCTTCCTGTGGCCACCATCCCAAATCGATCTGCTGGAGCAATCTGAAAACTTTTTGAACTCAATTTGCCTTACAACCCGATATATGTCAAATAGGATTCAGGCTTAAAACACACCCAAATCCCCCTTTAAAATCTCTCTCTAATTTGAGTCACTACCAGTCCTCAGATTTATCTTTCATGTCCTGATTTCTCCGTCCATCCAGCTCCATTGTCAATGTACCCGGTGAGTCCACTCTTCGCCGTGACTTCATCCGCCTGCAGCAGGAGAACAAGGAGCGGTCAGAGGCTCTCCGGCGCCAGCAGCTTCTCCAGGAGCAGCAGCTCCGTGAGCAGGAGGAGTACAAGCGCCAACTACTGGCGGAGAGGCAGAAACGTATCGAGCAACAGAAGGAGCAGAGGAGGCGACTGGAGGAGGTAAAATTAGTTTTTCCCCATCTTGTATATGATTATTTGTTTGATTTGACACAGAGCTCTCCTAAGATGAATCTGATTTGATGGATCAGAAACTCTGACATTGCTCTGTCGCCTCCCTCAACAGCAACAACGGCGTGAGCGCGAGATGAGGAGGCAACAGGAGCGCGAGCAGCGTCGCCGTGAGCAAGAGGAGAAGAGGCGGATTGAAGAGATGGATCGTAGACGCAAAGAAGAAGAGGAACGCCGGCGGTCTGAAGACGAGAAGAGAAGGAATGATCGTGAACAGGTGAACTCCTAAAATGAATTCTACTTTGACATCACTTTACCCAGTATCCACTCGAGGGCTCTGGTGTACAAATCCTCGGGGTTGAGGGAGGTCTGAGAAAAACGTGGTCATTGAAGTTCAACATTTGATTTCAGTCATAGTTTACTTGGGACTTTAATCTCTCCTGTGAGATGTTTAATGTGTTATTGGAGCAGGCAGGACAACAACATCGGAGCTGGATATGTTAGGTATTTTACTTGATACACTTTTGTTGTTGTTGTGATTACCAGGAATACATCAGACGTCAGCTGGAGGAGGAGCAGAGACACCTGGAGATGCTGCAGGAGCAGCTGCTGCGTGAACAGGCCATGCTGCTGGTCAGTCACACACAGAAACACCACATTAAATATAATCAAGACTTTTGTCTAACCTGCCAGTGATTATTACACTAAAATGAGTCTTTAACAACAGATACAAATGGCTTAAATATGACGTATGATTCCATTTAAGTTACTCAAGTGTAAATCAGGATGATTGGGTTATTAATGCAAAAGTGTTTCTGTATTAATGTGTTTTGAGAAAACGAAATTAAAAGGTGGCCCTGCTTTCAGTCAGGCAAAGGCAGGCTGCCGTCTCTTTTCTCCACCTTGAATCAACCCAAAACTCTGCAACAGGAGTTCAAGTGGCGAGAGCTCGAGGAGCAGCGCAAGGCCGAGCGGCTCCACAAGCGGCTGCAGCAGGAACAGGCGTACCTGCTGTCGCTGCAGCACGAACCCAAACTGCAGCCTGGGGACAAGACAAAACCCCCCTCAGACCATCACAAACCTCCACAGACCTCCACCCTGCCCCCTGACAGAGTCCTCACTGCATCCCCTCAGACTCAGGTCCCTGACTCACTTCCTGTTTCTGCAGCCAGAGGCTCTTCAGCCCCTCAGACGCTCCCTTTGGATAGCTCTAAATCTCAGGCTTCAGTTGCAGAAAACACTGACACAGATGAGACCTCCCCAAACCAGCTCTCAGACTCCCCCAGCCCCCCTCAGACTGACAGCCCCCCTGACTCTGAGCCTCCCCAGGCAGAAGGTTTGGAGCCCGACAGGCCCGCAGAGGCTGTCAGTCATCCTCCTCAGCCTGTCAGAGAGGTGAACCTCCTGTGTCGACCGCTGCCTGCTCTTTTCCAGCTTCTTCCTCTTGCTTGTCTTCAGTGAAAATAGAGGTGGTGCGAGCAGCAAATACTGGTTTTCTTTATCCTTATCTCTATTTAAAGCTTCTACAAGAACATTTAACCGTGCTCAGGGGTCTGGATTTTGATGGGTTCAGAGATTCGTCTGTTAAATTCTGTTAAGCATGCAGTGGCATTATTCCAAAGAAATTAGTTACAACACGGGCAGTCTCAGTCGGACTCTTTTAGATAAAACATAGCAGGCTGTACAATGGAGAATGGACACCCACAGACTCTCAACCAGCCTCTTCGTGTCTCCTTCACTCTCTTTTGGCACTAGCTCTCACTTGCACTGTTGCCGGTCTCCTTGACTACTAAAACCATCTTAATGTTTGGAAGTATTTGTGTCTTGGTTTTCCCTGAAAACAGGAGGAACTTAAGTCAAGTGTTAAAATAAGCAACAGGAAATCTTTTAGGCTTCATTTTAAAATCGATTATTTTAGTTGTTGTCACCCAAAAAACTAAAGACTTATTTCATTTAGAACTCCATAAATTACAAGTGATAGGATTATCTCTTGGTCTACGGTCGCCGACCTTCAATATAACTCTTCAACGTGGCTGTTCTGACCCCACAATGTGTGTTCATTGGGCCGTTGCATGTCGATGGCTGAGGCCCAGACTAACATGCAGGACACCTGAGCAATGTTTCCTGTCATCAACAGTGTCATTAACAACATTCTTTCCCTACATGTTCAAGGATGTGTTTGTTTGCAGTGGTCCTGTCTGTACCTCCGCCTGTGCACATATACCTGTCTGTACGGCTGCCTTTGACAGGCTTCAAGCATGTTTTATATAAATGTCTGTTCTGGGTATGAAAAAACAGTTCCTAATAGGGGAAAATATCAGAAGAAACGAGGAAATGGGAACCATTTTTTGTTCAGTTTAAAAATGGCTTTTTCTGGACTAAAAGGTGATTCCAGTTAAAGATGGACCTTTTTTTTCCACAACTTTTCTTTCTTAAAATACGGGTTTAAATGGGAAATGCACTTTCAGCTACTCTCTGATCAGTGCTCTTAATTCATCTTTATGATAGTTACTTAAAAAAATTAAAAGAAGTTCCCGAGTATTCGATTATCTCTATTTCAACTTTCAGTGATAAAAATCCTTATCCTTATCCCGTCTATGTCCTGTTCCTTTTCCCTCATCCCAGGCTGACGAGCGGTACCGTAAAAACATTCAGGGTTCCCCTCAGACCGCCCCTCCTCCCAAGCAGCCCCCTCTGCCTCCCCGTTCATCTGAACCGTTCTCCAACGGCGGCTCCTCCGAGGCGTCCGCCATGCACCGCCCCATGGAGCCTCAGGTAACTCGTCCCTCCTTTCTCCTCTTCTGACCTTTTCTTTCCTTTTTTCCCCCCCTGTTGCTCTCGTCCTCCCTCCCTTGTCAGATTTATGTGCTCAAACAGCAAAAAGCCTCTCACCCAGTTGGACTCATGTTTGAGGTCTTTGTCCTTCTGTGCCCACACAGTTTGTGGAGAAGAATATAGTCTGAAGTGAAACTCATTACAACATGTTTTTAATCCGTGTTGAGAAGATGATTATTTTCAGTTGGCCACAATGGAGAGCTGACAGTGAAGTTCTTCATCACTGATCTATTTCTGAACCAATCTGTAACTAAATGTGCAATATTTGTATGTTTTTTAGAAAGGAATAATTGAAACTTTGAATATTTGTAGCCTCATATTTCTTTAATTTAGTTTTCTTTGCAATTCGAGCATTTTTCTCCCCCTTTTTTTTTTTGATGAAGCGAGTCAGCAAAGACCTTTTTTCTGGCACAGCTTCATCATTTGGCGAAGTTACTGTCCAGGAGGAATTAAAGGCTGACTCAGCTTGGACTTCTTCTCTCACTCATAGTTAGAATTGCAAACTATCTTTGAAACCCCCCCCCCCCCCGCTACAAACGGTGTAAAATCCATCCTATACATGAATGCATTGGAATCTCTTCTTCTTTGCCTGCTCAGCGAACGCCAATAAATTAATTTCTGCAATTGCATCCATCTCCAAACTAATCGGACACCTGCATGGCTACACAGGCTCCACAATGTTTGCTCTGAAAACATCCACCACCACCATCAAAACTGAGAGCAGTGTGACATTAGGTTCTCTTTTCAAGATGTCGCTGCGCTAGTGGAAGCCTGTTGTAGCAGCTCCGAATATCTTGTCCTTCCCCAAAGGAATCAAGGAATGATAAAATACTATATCTGAAGATAACGGTCTCACCAACATCTCTTAAAGCACTCCAGTTAATGTGTTATCATAAGATATTTTACGGATTGGATGGATTTACTGATATAATTCTTGCTAACCCTCAGCAAGTAGCAAATAATATTTTTTTCTGATATGTTGTACTGTTCCTTTAAGCATTTGCATGAACCTAAAGCCCAGACGGTCACTCTGAGGTGAACACATCATCATGTTGTTTTGTGCTTTGTATGTATGCATGTGTATAAACTTAAAACCACGCACATCTTCCCTCATGTCTCACTGTGTTGTCTGCTTGTTTCACCTCCCCTCCCTCCCTCCTTCCCTCCCTCCCCCCTCACCCCTCAAAAGGTGCAGTGGTCCCACCTGGCTGCTCTTAAAAGTAGCAACAGCGCCGCCCCCTCTCCTCCTCCTGCTCTGCCCGTCGTCTCTCGCTCCCAGTCCTTCAGCGAGACCGCCGGCGTCGCCTCTAATTTTGCACAGCTCCACCTGCGCTCCCAGGACCCCCACCATCACCACCAATCGCCCGCACGCACTGACCCCCAGCCCCAACCTCCCCTCCACCACCCTCATAGACTCGAACACCAGGCCAGCAGTGAGGAGGTGCCTCCAAAGGTAAGGAGCCCCCCCCCCCCCCCCCTCCTCCCCCTCTCCTCTCCCTCATTCACGCCTCCTCCTGCTGCATTAATTCACTCATCAGCCTGTCTGTGTCCGCTTGCTGTGTTTGGTGTTATTATTTCACGTCAACGTAAACTCCTTTGAAATTAAACCTCCTCAAATCTGAAGCGAGATGAACTTGGATCTCGAAGCCTTTCTTGGAATAAACATGAAATTTAGAGATTTTAAACTTTGCAATTATTGAGCATCATTTCTGACAACAACATAACGGGTATCTTTTTTTAACTCGGTGTGCTCTTAGTTTGAAGGTGGGTTGTTGCAGAGGTCCATCTTTGCTGCTCTTGTACCATAATTCTCTAGTAGGTGATGCATTACTCTCAAAATATCCTCCCTGTGCCCGACTTTTCAAAGGAAACACAATACAGGTTTATTAAGTTTAATTGGGTTTGCTCTCTTGTTCTGCCAAAGAGCTTCGCCCAGCGACCGCAGTTTAATGTTGACAGTAATTTCCAATATGCTCAATGTTCCTCAGCGAGAAAATGAATAGTTTCCTTTTCTACTCGTCACATTTGAAATGTACTCATATTGTTTACACTTTAAAGGGTAAGTATGATCATGCTGCAGGGAATTCTTTTATTGCTGCAACACAGGATTCTGAGTCTGTAAGCTGATGTTTTTGTTGTTGTCACTGTGTGAGAAATCTTTGAATCTGTTCTCCTTCAGGTCCCAGTGAGGACAACATCCAGGTCTCCAGTCCTGTCACGCCGAGAGTCTCCTCTTCCCTCACAGCCCGGGAACCAGGGTGGACAGAGGAACGCTTCCGGGTACGTAAAGACACCTCCAAATTGTGAAAAATTGGTAAGGGGGTGTTGTCATTCATTTCTTATATTGCCAATGCCAACGCCATTGTGCAGAATTCGAAAAAAAACAGCTGTTTAGTCTTTACACACTGCATTGTTTTATCTACTCTTGCATTTTGTATTTTGGTTTCTGTTGCAAAGTGTCAAAACTCGAAAGAAATCAAATGAAACACAACAAAACTTACAAATATTCTGTATTATCGTGTTCATGTGGCGTTCTTCTTCTCTGTGACAGCAATGTGGAGCAGCGCCCCCTGTGGGACCGAGTGGAGAAGCTGCAGCCTCGGCCCGGCAGCGGCAGCTCGTCCGGCTCCTCCAACTCCAGCTCTCAGGCCAGTCCTGGTGACCGCTTTAGGCCACGCTGTGAGTCCCCTGGTACTGTACTCGGCCCTGTTTCACTCACTCTATGAGCTGACACGACTGACTCTCTGCTTACACTCCAGTTCTTCTTTTGCTCATTGTTATAGAAAATATGAAATGTGATTCAAATGGGGAGTCTCAGTCTTGTTTTACACAGTCTTTGTATTCACATATTTTGGGGAACAAACACTATAAACATGAGCTCTGACGGATACAAAGCCCCCACTGCACCAGTCGGCAGATCAAAGTCCATTAAAAGCTGTAACAAAAAAATATAATTTTTTTGTTACAGCCTGTTTTTACAACAGTGAATTAACATGTTTTTAGCCTGGTTCAAAAAGCGAAATAGGTCTGATTAGCTCACGTCTTGACAGGCACACACTTTACAGGGGGTGAGGTTTTTTTTTTTTGATAACTTTTGTGTTTTGAATTCATGAAAGATAAGAGTTATTCCCAATAGGCCGTGTAGCTGACCTGACTTGCAGGCAAGCCTATCACCTGCGAATAACTTTGAATTTTAGTGCACGTACTCTGATTAGGTTCTTAAACACCAAAGAAAACTTTGAAGCCATTAGAGCCTGTTTTCCTGCAGCTGAGTGAATAAATCTACTGAAGCGTTCCCCAAAACATTTTGCACCTAAAGAGCTAACCCTTTTTTCCCTTTCTGTTTCCCCTCACTTACGTTTGTTCCTTTTGTTTGCCTCAAAGCTTCCTCCAAATCTGAAGGATCACCTCTCCAGCGTCCTGAAAACATCCCCAAAAAACAAGATGAAAAGAACGTCGCCCGGCCCACTCGACCAGCTGTAAGTCCTCTGTTTCTAAAGCCCGGGTGTGACTTGTTTGATGCTGAATAGATGAAAAACTGTTTCTTTTTCTCCATTTTCTACTACTCTTATTATTCCACCACCTGGTGTGTGCAACCCCTCATGAATCCGATGGTTCGTGATTGTTGGGGAACCTCTTAGGGTGACGCGGTAAGCTTATTAAATAAGATCACACAATCGCACCTTCGCAATGCTTGCACCATTGCCCCGCTCATTGCATCATGTGATAAAGGTTTGCAATGAAAGAACTGGACTATTGCCTGTGAATTTTCCCACTTTCCCCCGTGCCTGCGCAGTTCCTTTCCTCTCTGTATTGCCTGGAACGTAAACAGTTAACGCTCTGCAGCAGCCTGGATTTAAACGCGGCCACATTTGAATGCAAACACACACCTCATGTTTCCTCGTACTTGTCAGAGTTGCTGCTATTCTCACCTGGCTTTGTTGCGGGATAAACTGTGACCCCTGTTTTGTTGAGTATGTCATGATATATCCCTCCGCCCCCTTTTGCTCCTCACTGACCTAACAAACTGCATTATTAAGAGTCTGCAAGGGAGGACAAGCCGAGGGCAGCGTGGTTACAAGACGAGGACTCTGGAGGAGTCGGCTCTAATCTATGGGATTAAATTCAACTATGATGTGATTATTTGATTTTCCGAACAATATGCAGCCCTTCAAAAACTGCATGAAGTTAATTAAACTATCCGAGCAGGCGAACCAAGCTTTGTAAATGGACATATTATTCCTGCATTACTACATTTTCCCTCCAGTTGTGTCGTGTAGTAAATGGGTGAAACATAAATTTCATCTTTGTCACTTTTTCTGAAAGTTTCATGAAATATTTCAAGGCAGCTACTTAAACATTAAGGCTGCGTTCACACTGCATGCCTCAGATCTGATTTTTGTTTGTTTGGCTTTTCACATTGCTTTTTAAATGTGGCCTGTATCTGAAAGGCGCTCGATTAGATTGATTGAATGTTACTTGTGCTGTTCACACATAAAAGCATTCGACCTGAGTCACACAGGAGCAAAAAAAAAAATCAGATTGAGGTGATTTATGCCTGCAGTGTGAACGCTGCCTCAAATGAGTCTGTCATCAGGAGCTGATGGGTGGAGCAGGAGGAGGCCCATATATGACTGACAGTCATTGACTTGTGGGTTGTGCGGTGACTCCCGACTGGCGACCATTTGGTGCATGTCACTCCCCCCCCAAGCCTCTCTCTTCCCCACATTGCCTGTCTCGCATCAGCTGTCCTCTCTCATAAAGGAAGACAGTCACGAAGATCGCACGTTCACAAAACAGTAGCATCCAAGAAACGCTAACTTTTCATGTTAAAATGTTCGGAAGGAGATCTCTAAATTAAAAGCTCCAGATGAAAACTTGCGCAGTCGCTTAACAAACAAAAGGAGTCAAGAGACGACGGTGCTCGTCGACTTTGGGTCTTCTCGACTGATGATTTTAAAGCGAGACTTTTTTGGTCTGAAGCCTTAAATCTCATCACTGTAGAGTTTGTAACATCGAGACTCGTGGAACGGCCTTTAGTTGGAGAGAAAGGTAGCCCTAAGTGGAAAAACAGACGATGTTAAAATACACAATATGCCAAATGCTTTTTACTTCTCAGAGGATGCAGGCAGATGTTAGTTCATAATAAAACGTACAACTAGAGGAGGAATTATAATAATTATTGCATGTCAAAGGTAATTCCCTAACATGCTTTCAGTATTGGAATCTTTTGATTTGGTTGATGCGTTAAATGTATTCAAGAAGTCATCAATGTGATTCTTGCAATGTATCCGACTTGAATTTTTCTTTCTTCTTCTTCTTCTCAGGACCTGACCGCTCTTGCCAAGGAGCTTCGTGCTGTGGACGACGTGAAGCCTCTCCACAAAGTCACCGACTACTCCTCCTCCAGTGAGGAGTCGGGCACCACCGACGAAGAAGACGATGAAGAAGTGGACCAGGAGGCAGGAGAGGAGTCCACCTCTGGAGCTGAGGACTCGCGGGCTGGGTAGGTAGAGCTGCGACGATGTTGTGCCTCACAGTCCTCTCTGTCTGTCTGTCGCCTTCATCTTGCTGTTGTTGCCGCTCTTAAATCTCATGAGTACATTGAAAAACATCAGATATTCTGTCAGAGCTTTCATTGTTGCACGGCTTCTCTGCATGTCTGTTAACGCTGGTCTGGTTACGGACGTCAGATATCCCCATGGCTTCCGCAGGAGGCAGAGTAACGGCGAGACAGAGTCGGCTAAGACCATGCTGGTGGAAGACTCGGAGAGCGACCAGGCAATGACACCCTCCAAGGACGGCACACTCGTCATCAGACAGGTAAGCAGAGAACGAGGAACTGGGTTTAATGGGATTGCCAACCTTTTACCTTAACCACAGACAGTATATCAGAAGTGGAAGTGGCCATGTGATGTCACCCAGTGGTTTGTGGGCTGCTATTTGGAAGCCTTACACTTGGCGTTTTGTCTTGGCCATCCCAGTTTAGCTACAGAGACCAAAGCTGTTTCAGTACCAGGCTGTACATGTGTTTGTTTCTGCTGTAAAAGTAGGCACTTTTTTTGCACTTCTGCATCTGGTTCATGTTTATAACATGGGAGGTTACCACTTGCTAATAAGAAATGTAACGGAAAAATGAAACTCCTTAATTTCTCCACAGAGTGTCTTTCAGTACAACCTTGAGTTTTCGGAAAACTGAATGTAAAGAACCTCTTGAAATGTCTTTTTTTTTTTTTTTCAAAGTGGGACCAAAATATAAAAAAAACTATCACCAGCACAAGTCAAGAAGACTTTGAACTGGAGTTTGAAACCATAAAACCATAGAAAAACATTAACTCAGGTGAAGAGTAGGCTACTAGACTTCTATACAATCAGACATCTTTTAGCAATAGGTAGAGACGCCCCCTACTGGCCTTTAGAGAGATGGCACTTCCACAATGACGACACTTTTCAGACATAGAGGCTGCAAACTCGTTTATCTTTGTTCTTTGTCTCTGTAATGTATCCTCTCATTCTCATTGTTTTGTGTTTCTGTATATCACCGTGTCTTTTTTCATATTGCTGTTATCATTACAGTCTCTCGAGTTTACTTCTCCAAATAGGTAATTTAATCTTTTAGTTGGATACAGATTACATTTGAAGAAACCTGCACATCAGGCTTACTAGTGAATATGCTTTGACATGCAGGTACAGCAGTGATGGATGTAAAGAATATCTTGTGTTGGTATTGTAAGAATATAAAGCAGCAGACAAACGCTCCTCTACTCCTTCCCTCCATCTGCTTGCTCGAGCCCAAGTGTTCCTCTTCTTGCTTCCAGAGCACCGCCGAAATAAAGCGGCTGGTCAATCTCTCATCCTCCTCCTCCTCTTCCTCGGCTGGTCACGGCCACTGCCTGCCCCAACCCCCTGGCCACGCCCTGCCGGAGAAAAATGGCTTTGCCGGTCGCATACATCACCTGCCAGACCTTATCCAGCAGAGCCATCACTCCCCTTCTTCATCCACAAACATCCCTCCCTCCTCATCCTCATCCTCCTCCTCCTCCTCCTCATCCTTCCCCTCATCATCCATCCATCCCAGTCCTGCCATGTCCCCACAGACCTCCCTGGAAATGTTCACTGCCATAGAGGTATGTCACCCCTGACAACTCCGGGACGAACAACCGAGGGATGGACCTTTACAGAGTTTACAGGCTTAGACATGTAGGAACCTTTTTTTAGATTGCTATTGAAAGTATCTCCAGTAGTCATAGTCTTAATACTAACACACATTGTTGGGGTTTTAAATTCAGCCCCTCTGGCGTACATTCAGACCCCAGATTACGGTACGCAAACATGGTGCCAAGGTTACTAAAATACCTACATTTCCTTTCAGTTGTTTTGTTGACTTTGATTTGTTTTTTTTTGTTTATTTGTTCCCACATTCTCCCTAAGCATGATGCGAGTAGATTTGCAGATTTTTTTTTTGGGGGGGGGGTGTTAAGCAGTATCAGTTACGTTTCCACCTCCATCTCTAAGCCTGTAAAGATTTGTTGTCCGTCCCTCGTTGTTCCTCGGAGATTCTCTGCCTCCTGTCCTTGCCCTTCCTGGTTTCACTCTGGCTCTCCTCTGCCCCCTTCTGGCCTGGCTGACACCTGCTCCCAAATTCCTCTGAGCGCCTCGCTTTATTCTCTCTGCTAACGCTGGCGCCTCCTGGTGGTAGAACAGGGTCATAGCATGGAGGAAACTAAACCAGAGCGTTTAACACCTTTTTTTGGGGGGGTTGAAGTGTTGAGTGATGGCTTGTCTGGTGTGATTACGACGTGGATAATACACTTCAAATTGAAACTGGAATGAAAATCTGAAAAGCATGCACGACCTACTTAAAAAAAAAAGAATCAAAAGTCTTTCATGTTGCTTCTCATAAATAACAGCCTCTTTTTCAGTCATCCTGCGTTTACAGATTCTGTGTGCTTATCTGGAGCAGCTTTTCCTCTTAACTGTTCACCCTGGATCATTTTCTTCAGCACATTTCTTCTTGTTGCAACATGTCTGTCTTCTCGAACAATGTTTCTTCGCTCTAACAACTCTTCAGAACAACTAACACAACTGCACATCGTTTTTCTCCCCCCCCCGTTTGAGTTGTTACAAAACTTGAGTTGCAGTGCAAGCTTTGTTTCCCAAGTGTCATGTGTCATAAAAATGTCATAAATTATTTTTTTTAATGCTGTCCCCCCCCCCCCCCCCCCGAGGTAAATTAAGAACATAACTGAAAACTGATGTGAGGCCTGCTGTTTTCCTTTTTTTTTGTTTTGTTTTTTTTAAAGGAAGGAAAAAGTCGAGCTCAAATCGGCCTGAATCAAACTTGTTTTAATTATTTTTTTAAACTTTCTTTAGGAAAAACAAAACTTTAGCTTCACATTTTTTTTTTTTAAAGAATGATTTTGTTCTCGGCTGTGTTGTTCTTATTTCAAATATACAAATACCGTGTTACAAATCTTTTTGTGTAAAGTTTGACAATAGTTTTAAATTCTGGGCCCAATATTTAAACATATTTAGGTTTTAAATGACTAATGGGGACAACAATTTTGCAAGAGTTTGCTTCAGTGTGCGGCCTTGAACAAGGGTGTAAAGGTCTAATGACTTCCTGTGTATAAAACAAAATACAGAAGTGAGTACAGAATGAAAGCCTCCGATTTGTAAGCGTTTCTTATTTTCTTTCAGTCCCAGTCAGAAAGCAACTCCATGTCCAAACACAAGTCTTCCTCTTCCTTCACTCCCTTCATCGACCCGCGTCTTCTTCAAGTCTCTCCATCCAGCGGCAGCTCTCTCAACAACATGGGTAAGTCGACAACTGGCTTATCTAAAAAAAACACCACACAGGTTTTAAACTCGTCTTTCCAGCTCTGATATGAGTTATTGTTGCCACCTCAGAGTGGAGGTTAAAAGTCATGTTGTGCCGTGTAGGTTAAAGTGCTTAAGATATTTGAAGCGTCATTGAACGTGTTCCATGTTTAACAAGAACCAGAGTGTTCATAAAATGAAGAACAAATACAGATACATTGTTTATTTGAATGCTTCCGGCCTGACCTTTATGTCCTCTGTGCCCCTCTCAGCAGCGTTTGGTCAGGACGGACGACTGCCGGACCCGCTGAGAGCCGAAGCGTCCCGCAAAGGCTCGGTGGTGAATGTTAACCCGGTGAACACACGCCCGCCGAGCGACACGCCAGAGATCCGTAAATACAAGAAGAGGTTTAACTCTGAGATCCTGTGTGCTGCACTCTGGGGTAAGAATATAAAAATCCACTTTTTTTTCATTTTTTTTTCATCAAAGCTTAACTTTGGAGGGTTTTTTTTTTTTTTTTTTCTTATGTTTTCTTGTGTTTCTGTGTTCGTGTCAGGAGTCAACCTGCTGGTGGGGACAGAGAGCGGTCTGATGCTGCTGGACCGCAGCGGCCAGGGGAAAGTTTATCCTTTGATCAACAGACGACGCATCCAGCAGATGGACGTCCTGGAGGGACTCAATGTCCTGGTCACCATTTCAGGTACATTAAATATGCTGCCGCTGGTTTTTTTTAATACGTCGGGATAGTGAAAAGCCGATAATTTATCTCTCTAGAACAAGCCAAACGCCTCTGCATCGCTCTTCACCCCAAATCGCTCTTTCAACGCCACGTCCGCAGTATAATGCTTATATAATATATTGAATCACTTCTCGGGAATTGCAAACGGGTCTTCTTTTAACGCGACCCCCTCCTCCTCCTCCTGCAGGTAAAAAGAACAAGCTGCGGGTGTATTACCTGTCGTGGCTGAGGAACAAGATTTTGCACAACGACCCTGAGGTGGAGAAGAAGCAGGGTTGGGTTAACGTGGGCGACCTGGAGGGTTGTGTCCACTACAAAGTCGGTACGTTACTCTTTCTGTCATTTTAAAGAGAGAAAAAAAAAAAATCGGCCTAAAAGTGAACCTGATAATCAACACACGTCTGCTTTTTGAATTTCAGTGAAGTACGAGAGAATAAAGTTCTTGGTGCTGGCCTTGAAGAACGCTGTGGAGGTTTACGCCTGGGCGCCAAAGCCCTACCACAAGTTCATGGCCTTTAAGGTCAGAACACTCACATAGTGGCGATGCTTTAAGTCGTTTTTTCTGCTTAATTTTCACCTGGTTCACTTCTTTGTTCATGCTTGGTTTCAGTCTTTCGGTGACCTGGTGCACAGGCCTCTGCTGGTCGACCTGACGGTGGAGGAAGGTCAGCGGTTAAAGGTCATCTACGGCTCCTGCTCGGGCTTCCATGCTGTGGACGTGGACTCTGGTGCCGTTTACGACATCTACCTGCCCACGCATGTAAGCGCTCGGCACTTCATCTGAATCAGCGTCTGATTGTTTTCCCATGCTGTTCCCTCTCCTCATTCTTCCTTCTGATTCTGCGTCCCGCTCAGATCCAGACGAGCATTCAGTGCCACGCCATCATCATTTTGCCAAACACTGACGGGATCGAGCTGCTGGTGTGTTACGAGGACGAGGGCGTCTACGTCAACACCTACGGGCGCATCACCAAGGACGTGGTGCTGCAGTGGGGAGAGATGCCAACGTCAGTGGGTGAGTTTGGCCGTATCTCCTCCGCAGCATTCACCACGAGAGTGCCACCGAAAGAAACAGTTTCATGAACCTTCTCTGTCGTGACCCTGTGTGTCTGCAGCCTACATTAGGTCAAACCAGATCATGGGCTGGGGGGAGAAGGCCATAGAGATCCGCTCGGTGGAGACGGGACACCTGGACGGCGTTTTCATGCACAAGAGAGCTCAGAGACTCAAGTTCCTTTGTGAGAGGAATGACAAGGTGAGAGCCATCCTCAGCCTCTTTCCTCCCTCCTGCCTTTCCTTTGTTTCCTATCTCCACTGTATGACGTTATAATGAGAATATTTGCCTTCATATGTGTAGTTTGACGGAATCACGATATCATCAAAAGAGTGGAACATACTGGAAAGTAAAATAATACAAAAAAAAGGGGACATGAAATTTTACTTTTTCTCTTTGTGTCAGATCAGGAAATCCTGTGAAAAGTAACGGAGCAGTGTCGACCATAAAGCTCCCTTTTTTTTATTTATTTTTTAACCTTTGTGCCTCTTCTGTCAGGTCTTCTTCGCCTCTGTTCGCCAAGGAGGAGCCAGCCAGGTGTACTTCATGACCCTGGGACGCACTTCCCTCATGAGCTGGTAGCCGACGTTCCTCCACAGCAGCCGACGCGACGACCACAACCTTAGCAGAGACCAACAGAAGACGATTGTGACTATGACAGACGACTGATGGAAGAAAAAAAAAAAAAAACAAAGAAGAGAAACGCCTTGAGCCTGAAGCGGAGAGAGCCGCTTCCTTTCACCTGCTCGGTTGAACAAGATCGGACTGTACTCCTGAGGAGAAGCGAGGGGACTGGGTGCGGGCTTTGGGTTTTTTTTCTCTCACCTTAACCTTCAAGCCGATCGCCCCTCTTCCTCTGCAGGGCGTGGGATGTGTCGTCCTGTTGAAGGTAAATCTTTATGTGTCATAGTTAAACTTTGCATCGTGTATGTGTGTGACAGAGGAAACACTGAGCATGTGAATAACTGACCATTAGAGGCTTAAACGCGCCCGTTGCTGTATCGAAGAAGGCCAATACTGTACACGTGTTTAGTCCGGGTTCTGTTCAGGTAACTCCTCCTCTTCCTCCCACGGTAGATTCTCATGTTAACACTAGTTCACAGTCACCGTTCTCCTCCTTTTAAATAACGCCTGACGTGTAAATCTGCCTCCGTGTCTTCACTTTTTTGCCTTCTCCTCCTCGAAGTGAAGATTTTTTAAGGGACCTTTCTCGATCTATCCATAAACAAACAGGGTACTGGATATGAGCTTGTACATACTAACTCCACGCCTCACGTACTGTAGGTGATGTCGGACAGATGTAGCCCTGTTTATGGCAGCATGTTGCTTTTGGTGTTCTCGACACAGATTAGCCCCTTTTTTCTCAGACACTGTATATTTTGTATGTGACTCGCTGCACATGAATAAAGCAGAAGAAGAAAACTAGGAAATGAAAAACAAAAGGAGGTTCATAACATCATTTAAGTCTCGCATTAAAGGCCTGCGGTTTGGTGCAGCTTTAAGTGAAGTTAATGGAGAAGAAAAATACCCACAACAAATAATGTAAAAGCGCCCCGCTGCCACATCAGTTGCCTGATGTCACCATGCAGATATGAGCGTCTCAAAGATAAACTTGCATTGATGTGAATGTTTTCAAACGTTTCGAACAAGAAAACAATGCTGAGGGTGATTTAGAAAGGTGTCATCATGCAGATTGTCCAGCAGAGGGTGCTCTAACCTCACAAGTTTTCAACACTCTCAGGACTGTCTGCAGAATATGAAGCAGACGACTGAATGCACTGGATTAAATTGATTGACAATGCATAATAAAACCTGTTCTGAAATGGTTTTTTTTAAGAAGGCAATGTTCTGAGTGACTTTATGTTGTCTGATGCGTGTAACAGTGAAGGAGAAATCGTGTTGAAAAGGTTGTTTCAGTTCCAGGTCAAAATAAACTGGCATCCGCTGCATTGTGGGTAATCTTTCTGCAAACCTTAGTTCTTAAAATCAGTCTACACCAGGTATTCATCTTGCTTTTGTTCCAACAGCATACAGCTGAGAAAGAAAACCCTGCTTGGTTCGAGATAAATAAAACTTATCTTTGAAGTGTAATTGTGCAGTTTGTCCAGCAGAGGGTGCTCTGACTGCGTATTTCACAACACTCAGGACTGTCTGCAGAAAATGTAGCGGCGATTCAGACGGTTGACGCGCTAGAATTGAATGACACTGCACAATAAAAACAATTTGTTAGAGAAGTTAAAGGAGGCGATGTTCTGAGTACCTTTGCGTAGATATACCGTCGCAAAAAGGATTTTAAAATCCTGGTAGAAATTCAATATTCAGTTTACAGTATCCCTAAATCGTCTGCACTAGTTCGCAATCGAGTCGGTCTCTGAAATCCCAAATCGTCGGGTCAGGTTGTGCAACATAAACCTTTGCTTTTACATGCAGCAGCGTCTTGCTTATTAAACCTAAACCAAAAAGGTAAAAAAACGACATAAATAAACGTGACCAATCAGAGCAGGGGCAACTAAGTTTCTAAGCAGATCAATGCATCACTGGCTCAGATTACAACTGGCTGCAGAAATGCATCAAAAAAACCAGGAAGATAACACACATAATGAGATAAAGAAAACAACATGATATAAAGAGCTATTCATTGTGTTTGTGTATTTCTAAGTCAAACATGAACTACTCCAGCTAATCTTCATTAACTTTGATTTAAAAAAAAAGGCACCAAAGTGGAGCTCTGATGTCGTGATTCTTCCTGCTTTGTTTTAGTTCTCGTTGTAAGAATGCCGGACGTACACGTTGATGAGTTTTAAAGGAAAGATCCACCGCAGATATCATCAATCTGTCGTTCGACTTCGGTCTAAGGATTTACTTTCACATAATCATCGTCTTGAAGTCTTCAGATTCTGTTTTTTTTTTTTTTCTTCTCTCTACTGGAAATATAAATAAACACACCCAGAAATGTGAGCCGCGCCGCCGACAAAAACAAAAAAAAAAAGGTGGATTTTTCCTTTAAATGATGAGTTGTAAGTAGGGCTAGCATAAACTGTGAAATAGCAGAATTAGCAGGTGGCCGTTAAGGTAGCATGGACGTGACTGTAAGGGAACGAAGGCAAGTGTGCAAAGAGAAAGACGATTTCACATCCACAATCATCCAACTCTTTACAGTTGCCTTACAAGGATCTCAATACAAAACCCGGTTTAGCTTTTACTCGTTTTTAGTGACGTTTGGATTCATGTGTACTGTAGGAAGACTTGAGTCAGAACCAGCCATGTGATTCAATTCATTCTGGGTTTCAGGCCACAAGTTCAACTGGACCATATTCTCATTTTTTACTTCCATTTCTTCCTTTTAAAGCCCAAAACGACATGTTTAATACAGTCTCCCTCCTCTGTTGAATCAATCCTGCAGCTCATGTGCATGTATGAATGATAAAACCCTGATAACGAGACTCTCCTTCCCCCGTTTAAACTCTTAAATCCTGCTCTCAGTAACGGGCGGTGCCTTCACTGTCGAAGCTGGGAGCTGCCGAATAAAGGAAAAAAAAAAAAAAGATGCATTCACTGTCTGCGAAGAAGGCAAAAAGTCACTCGTTCTAATAGCAGTGTTACAAAACCACTTGAGACGGCGCGGACTAAGCGGCATATTTTTAACTCTGACTTAGTTTTTAGTCTTGTTTCTGCAATTTTTATTATGTAACCCTTCGGATAAGTATGCGACTGCAGTGGTTTTTAAATTGTAATGCACACCTTATGTTGAAAATGTTTACAGAAGCAATTGTTTTGTTAAACCAATGTGCATCGATATGAATATTTATGGTTTATTTTGAGGGCAGTTTCTCCCTGTTTTTTGTATTTTGTATTATTCCCTTTTTGTACTTTCATTTAGACGTTTGTGTACAGGATTAATCAACTTTTTGCTCACCACGTTATGAATTACACAAGTCTCTCGGGTGTGATTTCACCGATTCCTACTTCCTAATTCCTCCTGCATTAGTGCACAGTGTGCCCCTGGCTGCGTGGCAGCGTGGATCAAATGTTTTCTACCACCAGGTGCCAGGTGACATGTCCCCCCCCCCCCCCCCCCCTTCCCTCGAACGTCTCTCCGCCATGCCTCTCTAATTTATGTCCTCTCTGTGTGTACTATGGGAATTACTGTATTTTCCTGAAGGTCTTTATTTCCATTGAATAAAATCAGAAGTAATTTACAGTGTCATGTCTGTCTTTTTATTGTTTTTATTCAAAGGTCACTTATTCTCCTCGTCTTCAACCACTTTAAATAAGTCTCAGAGCTCCCACAAAACTTGTCTGTGAAGTTTCTTGTTATAAATCTACTCTGATCATGTACAGTGTTTGATTATGCCTATAAACCCTTCTATTTCTTGATTTAAGAAAGAAAGGCTAGTGGACAGAAGAATATACTTTTAAAAATCTTAATAAAAAAAAAAACACCCCACTTTCATTCAAATTTTACTGCGAAAATATTTAATCAGAGCATCACAACAGGATGATTCCTTATCCTTTATATATTTATGTTTAACCGTACACTGCTGATATAAACTTTAGATTATGCATCTTTGTAAAACTCGAGTCAAAATCAAATCATATCCAATCATGGAGATGAAAAACATCCAGTAAGAAGAAAGCCATATCATTGAAAGGATCAGAAAGGCACATTGACCAAAGAAATAAATACATCAGTTCCTAATTTCTCCACAGGAGGGCGCCGTAGATCACATCACAGAATATCGCACTTCAGTCTACCTTTTACATCGTTACAATATAGTTTTCCGAGTTTAAGTGTCTTTTTAAGAGTTGGGATGTTTTTTAGATAAATGTTTTTTTTTGTTTTTGTTTTTAATTAATCGTCGTTTTGTTGAAGCAGGCAGGACAGTGCAGTACAACTTTTTATCCACGTGGGCGGTAATGAAACTGCTTGGACGCCAGCCGCCATTAATGAACCTACGAAGAAGAAGAACCTGCAGTTTCCGGTTTAATTTCGGTTGTAAATTCAGTCAAAGTAACAAGAAATATCTCTTTAATTAAACTCTTCATCAACAACAAACATAGTTTTAAAAAAAAAGAGACACACAGTTCATTCTTAAAAGTGATGAGTATAGCAGGAGATATCTTACAGATATTTCGAGCGTGAAGCTAGACAACGGTTAGCGTCCAGAAGCAGGTGTTATGGTTAAACGAGTGACCGTGCTAACTGGTGACTTTCCTCCGACTGTACCTGTGTAGTCAGCAGTGCCCGTCGTTGTGTTTTTCATTTAAATGAATAGAAGACGTGCATCAGAGTCCCTACAGTCTTATTTGTGCAAACGCGACACAACAATTACTATGCAACTTTTGTTTTTCCGTTTAACTACGACAACAACAGACGGATTCGGCCGGAAGTCACTAGATAGCACGGTCGCTGATTAAACCATTACACCGTTTTTTTCGCTACAAATTGATATTTTATATATTTTTCACAAACTAACAAAGAAAAGATGTAATAGAAAATGTAAAATACGCAGATTATTTCAGATTTGACATACACTTATAACGTAAAACTATCTTTAATATTCGTTTTTTGTTTTATTTTTGGAAAGGAAGACCGGAAGTCCCCCTGTGCGCCTCTCTAACTTGACGCAGCTTGGCTGGGTCACGCTGCAAACCAGCCGGATGTTTTGCGTCGCCAGTATGTGATGGGAACTGTTTTCCTCATTTTCTGTCACGAAGCTAAATCTTGCGGCTCCACGCAGGTGAGTGCCCGTCCAAAGCGTCCTTACAGCGGGCTAGTTTGTGGAGGGGGGCGGGGGAAGCTGCAGGTTGTTGTGGGTGAAAGCTGCAGAGAGGTCGTGACGGTGGTGGTGGTTTGCAGTGTCCGTGCACGCCCCTGCGCGCTCCCACACAACCATAATATAGTTTTCTGTACATTGTGGCCCCTTCAACAGGCTGCAGACGAGGATGCTGCTGGTTTGTTTATCACCAATTTGACCACACATGCAGCTGAAACTGCTTTAAATCATAGGAAACGTGTTTTTTTTTTTCTATTCTTGCTTTGGAATGATGAGGCCTTACCAAAACATAGGCTTTCACTGTGTGCCTTTTCTCCACCTGTCTGGTGTATTATCTGAATGTACTCCATCTGTGACAGCTGTGTCTGTGCTGCACAGTGCTTGTAGTGGCTCCCAGAGGATCAGGATCAGAAGCTGTCCCTGCTTGAGTTTAGAGCTTGTGGTGGGCAGGGGGGGAGGTGGGAGGTGGTGTGAGTTTCAGCAGCTGTCTTTTATTCCATCCATCTTTCCTGACTCTTAACTTTTAGTTTGGCCCTTTGCAAAAAAAACAAACCCTTTCACAGTTTTAAAGCCCTGAAATAGTTCATCTAACCCCTTTTAGATATGGAGAATACTTTCATCAGATTTAAAGTTCACATGCAGACATAAAAAAAAAAAGTCACTTTAATTATGTCTTCAAACATCTGACCTTAACTCTTTGGCTTCCCACAAAAGGCTTTTTATTCATTTGAATGAAAATTGCATGCGGCAGACGCACACGCGCTGCCCTGATGAACTGACTTAATCTATCCTGGATGTTATTTTGTGTGTTGGAAATGCAGGGGTCATCTGAGAGGTCAGAGGGGCAGAATGTCTCCTTCTGTCGCCTTGATCGGTTGTGTAATCCCATTTAGTGTTTGTTTTCAGCTGCCAAATGGGCCTGCTGCTAAAAAAAAAAAAGATGATTGATATGCAACAATTTAGCTGATTATTTAATAACTGAAGTCATTTTTTTATACAGACATTGCATGTGCATTTTCACACATGATTGTTGCTTAAAGAGAGAGTTGGTGGGGGGGGGGGAAAGCTTTTCAGTGAGTTCCTTGTTTGTTTTTTATTTGCATGTTACAAGCCTTCGATTAATCGCTTGAGTTTCACAGATGTTAATTTTGTTCGCGCCGACAACAGCCCCCGAGTTTAAAGGAGAAACACTCATAACAATATGAATGAAAGAGGCCTTTTCTATGTGTTGCACTTACTGTGTTTTACAGCTATGACCACGCAACTCTTCTGAAAAGGCTTTGTCGTTGTGTGTTTTTAGTTTTTTAAGGAGCCTATAACGTTTAATGTCTTTTGCAAATCAATTTTAGTATTATTTTTAAGCCTGCCAGATTGGTGTTGTGGTAAAACATCTATAAAACATTAGTCTTCAAATGTTCACTGTTTTTAAGTAATCCTTAAGCAAAACTACAAAAAACTTTGTTGTGATAGTTGGTGATCTAAAAGTGAGTTATTTCAAGAAGTCGATTTTTGTATCCAACTGTTTCTAGGTTTCCTGTTTAATCGAGGAAATAAAAGTCATCTAAAGTTAGACGCAGTGACAGATCAGATGACACAGAAGCTGCAGGATTCATTACGTGCTGGAATCTGTGTGGCCGCTCTCAGAATGCCTTCTTGGCTTTCCATTCATTCTGCATGCATGTGTGATCTGTCACCGAAAGAGAGGAGAGAAGGCTGCTCCTGTTGCCGCAGCAGTTGTTTCAGAGCGGCGCACACCTGTTTGTTTGGACAGATGGTGGACACAGCGCTCTTCTGTCTCTCTGTGTGTTTTTGGAATGGCGTGCAGCCGCTCAGCTGTTGTTATCTGAGCTTGCATGCTGACTCGGAGCACGTCTTCATTTAATCAGGCTGTTGTGTTCCTTGCTGAGACACTAAAGATGATAAAAAAAAAAGCCCTCTGACACCGTAGATTCTGGTTCCCTTTTTTTTTTTTTTGTCTTATGCTGAAGTTTCGCTGCCAAGAAGATTATGCTGATTTTTTTTAACTCTATCTCTTCGGTGTTGATTCAAATTTCGAGGTTTTCACCTTTTTATTTTTTGATTTGCAAACCTAACAATGCACATTAAACAGCTGTTTTCATACCGCAGGAACTTTTTCATAGCGCCAGGAACTGTTTGAACCCTCTCCCCCTTTTCTGTTCATTCCGCACATGAACTCTTTCTAGAACCCGTTTAGGAGAACCTTTTTTTTTTTAGCTCCAGCTTCCCCAATAGGTCACATTGCAGCCGTCGACTGGAGCAACTCCAAACGTTTTGTGCCCCCAAGTCTATCAAGATACCTGATTTGGCGGTGCAGCAGGAAAATGACAGACATTTGAAGTGTGGGATGTCTTTATTTCTGTGGACGTGACTTTATTCTGTCGCTCACACACACGAGCTCCGTCATCACATGAAAGACTGAAAGGCAAAGACGTGTGCTTCCGAGTCATCTGCCTTGAAGTGTGCTGCGACAAAGAGCAAGCACGTCCCCTCCTCACACTCTTAAGGACATAAAACTTTTTGATGTCTGTCGCCGCCCCACACACACACACACACACACACACTCGCCCTTTCTCCTTTTCAGCACCGCCACACTCTCATCTTTCCTCCTGCGCTCTCTTAAAGGCCACGCTGGTCTTTCAGGCGGCCTTTTCTTTCGGTTTCACCCCCTCCCGCACTCCCCACAAAGACAAAGGCAGGAGAGTGACTGTGGCGCTCTGTAGCCAGGTGTTCTCCATTGCTGCCCTGGGCTGTAATGGCCCCGGCCCTCACCCTGCAGCTGCCCTCCCCAGCCTCCCATTGTGTGGCTCTATTGTTAGGGCGCCCACCCCTCGTTGATTCATCGGCCACACAGGGGACGCCCTTTCAGACTCAGGAGTGTGTGTGTGTGTGTGTGTGTGTGTGTGTGTGTGTGATGGTGCACGGTGAGTACGCGTGCCTTGGGGAAACTGGGTGTTGCACGCCTCCTCCTCCTCCTCCTCCTCCTCCTCCTCCCTCTCGTCGCTGCACCTCATTGTAAGCCCGCCGCGCTCTGATTGGTGGAGCAGCAGCCACTCTAACCGAGGGAATGGCTGACATTGTTGCTCCATCTGTTGTGCTACTCATTGTCCAACTTGTCTGCTTCTGTGGTTAAAAAAAAAAAAAAAAAACAACCCCTCTATCTGTGGAGGAGACACAGACAGCGAGGACGAGGCGGGAGCTGGAAGCTTAGCTGTATCATCTTCCTCGGATGCTGTGGGAACTTTTTTTTAGACTTTCTCTGTTTCACCTGCTGCGTCTTCTAATCTGGTTTCCGAGGATTTAAATCTGCAGAAATGAGCAAATCTACCCCCGTCTCCTTTATTGTGTGCTGATCTTTTAGAGCCTGGTAAGTGTGACGGCTATAACCGGACTTTGTGTGGAAAGT